ACCCCTGGTATGCCCAAATATGGGAGGAAGGTCACAACTTCCATTCTCTGTCCTTCGGCTCGTCACAAGAGACCATCCAGACAGAAACCCAATATTTTTTACTGTTGCCTTTTTGTTACATTTGTTATGTTTGTGCTGATAAATAAATAAAGGGAGACTAGTATAGATCTATTTCAAGCTATTTAGCTCTCATCAGCTAGCCAAAAACGGCAACAGTAAAAAAATATTGGGTTTCTGTCTGGATGGTCTCTTGTGACGAGCCGAAGGACAGAGAATGGAAGTGTGACCTTCCTCCCATATTTGGGCATACCAGGGGTTGTGACTTTAAATATATATATATATATATATCCATCCTTGAAGACTATCAGGAGAATTCAGGAGAAATGAAAGATTCTTTAAAAAGGTATTGGCTGAAAGATATTGCAAAATTATGTGTGCTCTGAAATATTTTTTCAGCTTTGGAGCTAAAGCATTGCACAATCCCACTTTCACTAAATGATCTGTGTCTTTCTGATGTGGACAATGTTATATTGAGACGACATCATTGAACATCGTACTGCAAATGAGTTAAAATATCTGACATGCTGGTAGTCCTTGACTTAATGACTCTTATTGAGCCTGGAATTATGGTTGTAAATCAAGGCATGTGATTAGATTTGAATTTTTTTTTTTTTTGATAGTTGTTAAGTGACTGCCAGGGTCATTAAGCAAGCACTGTGGTCCATTTTCCCCAATGGGCATTTTTTGCTAAAAACAAAAAATAAATGCCAGAAACCAGGAAAAAAAGTTGCAATCTGTTGGTAAAGCCAAATGTCAAGTACCCAAAATGCGATCACATGACCACCATAATTTAGAAAATGGTTTGTAAATAGCTAGGCAGGTCCATCATAATTTCAAATGGTTGTTATGCAAAGGATCATAAGTCAAGGACTACCTGCAGTCTGTTCTGGTAGATTGGTGAGGTGACCTACTCACTTGCTCTGCTTCTGGTTCTCTTCAGGTTACCTTCCACTACCGCACTATGCTTTGCAGTTCAGATCAGAAAGTACTAGATGACAGTCGTACCCGGGACAAGCCTATGGAGCTGATCTTCGGCAAGAAATTCAAGCTGCCTGTCTGGGAAACCATCTTGCACAGCATGCAGGAGGGCGAGGTGGCTGAATTCTTGTGTGACACAAAGGTATTTCTCATGCCTGTTTGAGGGGAGGATTCATACAATCTTACAATGTTAGGTTGGAGTTAAAAACAACAACAACCCTGGAAGATCATTTCAATCAGAGGTGGGTTGCTGCTGGTTCGGTCTGGATCGGCCAAACCGGTAGTAGCGGCAGCAGGAGGCTCTGCCCACCTGCCCAGACGCTTCTGCACATGCGCAGAAGTGTCGCATGCATGGGACCGTGCCCAAACCAGTAATAACAAAATTGACAACGCACCACTGTTTTCAATATAAAATCACAGCAGTGAGATTACTGTATTCAGAGATAAAAGGATTTGACACTACCTAATAGGAAGGAATGGTTGGTGAAGTTAACAGATTTTGCCGAACTGGTTAGTTGGCTTTGATGAGAGAAAAGACGTATCTATTTTTATTACTGACGAAAAGCCTGTTATGCACTTTGCATAAAAATGGACTTGCGACATGATGATGATTAAGAGTAGATTATAGAAAGAAAAGTCACATGATGTAACTTCAGAGAAAGGTCAAAATATATTTGTACTTATAACCGCTGGGAAGAATATGGAAAGCCATTCCTTTATATCTTCCCCTCCCCCACCCCTTTTCTGGCTCCCCCCCTTCTTATTTCTTGGTCTTTTCTTATTCTTCATTTGGTTGCATTGGCTTTTACCTTCCTGTTTAAGTTTTAATTTAAAAGAATATACTTACAATATGAGGTTGAGAGAGTCTTGGAGATCGTTTAGCCTAACCCCCTGCCTATTGCCAGAATCTATGCTTCAGCATCCCAGACAAATGGTCGTCTCAACACTCCGGAGAAAGAAATTCTATTGTGCCCCTGACAATCTCTGCCACTATTAAACTGTGCTGTTAAAAACATTTTCTTAATGCTCAACTGAAATCTTCCTCCTTATAATTTAAATATAGTCTTTTCTTATTCTGGAACAATTTTGCCCTATTTTCTGCAGGAGGATCCTTTAGACATTTGGAGACAGATATCAGGTTTCCCCACTATTTCCTCTGAGCTAAACATGTCCATCACCACAAACGGTTCCTCATAAGTTTCTTCTGGTAGGCCATTTTTCATCTTGGCTTGCTTTCTTATGGATACCCTTGTTTGCCAGGGACCTTTCTAAAACCCACTGCCCAAGAATTGATTCACTATATTAGGTTTGGTCTGATTAAGACAGAATTAAGAGTAGCAAGGACTTTTGTGTTATACCTAGAGTGTACGCCTTTGTCCCCTTCAGAGTAAAATGATGTAAAGTGTATATATGCAACTTTGCCACTTACCAATTAAACTTGTACAAAAGAAAGCAACAAGTTCTTCAGCCTGAATGGTGTGTGTGGAATTACAGTTTTGCAGTGTGGAACATTAGTAAGCGTGAGAAGTAGGAAAAAGGCCCTACCCAAATTCTTCTAATGTGGCTCATATATAAAGACCTTGATCTAGTATTGATTGATTCTGGAATGAGTAAAAGAATACTTGGTTTCCTTCTTTTATAACTGTGCCCAATGCATTTATTCCCTCTTGCCTGTGCCATTTTTCTCCCCCTCTCTTGATTTTCCAGCATGTGGTCTTATATCCGATGGTGTCCAAGAGCCTGAGGAACATTGCAGCTGGGAAAGATCCTCTGGAGGGACAACGACATTGCTGTGGCATTGCCCAGATGCACGAACATCATTCGCTGGGTTATTCAGACCTTGATGAGCTCCAACAGAACCCACAGCCCCTCATCTTTGCCTTTGAAGTGCTCAAGGTGAGGGGGAAGGAAAGGTGAGGTCCTCTGGGCTAGGCAGACTCAAGAAGGGCAATTGGGCTTCACCTGTTTGGAGTCTCTTACTTACTTGAGTATATGGGTCCCCAAAGCAAGGAGAAGAGAGATGCCTTCAGATAAAAGTTGGGAATGGGTCCCCCCCCCCCACTGCACAGATGCCTGAGATAACCCCACCATTGTTTTAATGGGTCTTATTTTCAGGGGACAGGCAGCATGCTTTTTGCTATCCCAATGAGGGAGAGAAACTGTTTGAAGTAATGCAAGTCCTTCTTTTCCCTCTTACCCTGCCTCCACTTTTTCAGCTTTGAGACACCTTTTAAATTATTGTATTCATTTGTTAGATACATATATATCTCGCCTTGAGCTCAAGGTAGCATGCACAGCACTGCCACGTCCCGTTTTTCCTTCCAATAAGTTTCCTTGTGAGATAGATTGGGAAGGTCAAAGGTCACCCAGGGAGCTTCTGTGGCTGAAACGAGCCTTAAATCGAGGTTCCCCCGGTGCCTTTCCCAATCCATTGCATTAGTTCTCTTCCAACACCTTAGAGCCGTGATGGTGAACCTCTGGCACGCATGCAAGAGTTGGCACGCAGCACCCTCTCGGATGGCACACGAGCCATCACCCCAGTTCAGCTCTGTCACGCCTCCCACCACCCAGATGGTCTTCGGGTCTCTGCCGCGCATCTGCTGGGGGTGGGGTGCATGTGCAGGGGGCGCATGGACATGTGTCGGAGGGCTTGGAGGTGTGCAGGAGATGCGTATGCATGCATGGGCAGGGCGCATGGGAAGGGGATGCATACGCATTGCGTTTCGGGAGGCGCACATGCCTTCAGGGTGTGTGTGTGCTTATGTGCTTTGGGCACCTGCTCCGAAAAAGGTTTGCCATCACTACCTTAAAGCCTGGGTTGACCAAAGCAGCCTGGTTCTTAAGGGCCCTGCTTTCTCTAGCACTGTGATGTAACCATGCTTGTTGCCTTGTGCCACACCAGGTGGAAAGGCCTGGCATGTACCGGCAGGATCCATGGGCTATGTCAGATGAGGAGAAGTTGAAGGCTGTGCCCCTGATCCACCAGGAGGGCAATGAGCTCTACAAGGAAGGCAAAGTGCAAGAAGCGGCTGCCAAGTACTACGATGCAATCGCTTGCCTGAAGAACCTGCAAATGAAGGTGACTGATGGTGTGGCTCCCTGGGGGTTGGAGGTCCAGTTAGGGGTTTCACTTGCATAACATTCAGGGCAGCAAATGCCCAATCAGGGAAGGGTTTCCACCCTAACTCATTTCATTGCCCAGGTACAAATGTCATCAGGTCATTTTCATAAAGCCTGGCCTGGTCAGAACAATCTTTGCCCTTGATTGAACAGTCTGTGAATGAGATTTCTTCTGTTTGGTCTATGGGTTCCTAGTTATTCAACATTGGTTTTACTGTGCCTAAAACAGGGGTAGGAGTAGTGCTATGCCTTCAGGTGTATCATTTGGGTTTCACCAAGTTCTCTTTCTTACCTAGGTTTATAAAGATTAGTCAGTTTTTAAAATACGCAAAAGAAACCGGTATTCTGCAAAGTTAAATTTCATATTGTTGTCAGGCAACAAGACCTTTAGATCCACGCAAAGACTTCTCGGGGTTGTAGCTCATTTGTTAATTCCTGGATACCTAAATAGATTTGCTGCCAGGAAATTTTCTCCTGGCTGCCTTGTGAATGCATGTACTTACCACCTACAGTATTCTCCAAATTCCAGGTGTGCCCTCATCTGAAAAAAATGTCCCTACATGCTATCCCACTTTGCACATGCTCACCCAGTAAGGAAGATCCCTACTAAACCATTGGAACCATTTTTGCTCAGCTACTCTGGGGCACTCCTGGCCCAGTTCCAATTGGAGAGAAGGATTGTATCCTCCAAGTAATCCTATCAAAGCAATAGCGTTCTTTCTCACTCATGCAGCACCAGGACAGGGTCTGACAAGCAGCCAGAATGCCTTCTATAACATAATTTGTCAAGAAGGCACAATTTCTCTCTTCATCAGAACACATGCATGAAAAGGCTCCTGAGTCAGCCTTAACATGATGCTAGCAGACGGGTGTGCAACATGAAATCTGCAGTGTCTTTTTTCCACCTCCCTGGCCTACATTTTCCAGGTAGAAATTGGCATTTGAAATTTTCTTCCATCATTCAATCACAGGATGTGATGGGGTCCTTGTTAAAAAAAAAAAAGACAGGCTGTTTTGTGTGGGAAAGGTTCAAGTTCTTTCACACTTTCCTAAGGGCTTGGCTACAGGGTCTATGACAACTCGTCATGGCCAACTCTCTCCAGGACAACTCACCATACGACAAGATTTACACTAATATTGAAGGAATAGCAGAATAGACTCCTGATGCCGAAGGAAGGGCAAAATGGTCTGCGAATGAAAATAAATAAATAAAATATTTTAAAAATTATTGTAAATATAATTAAATTGAATTGCTGAATTCTCCTGCGTTGAGTTGGCCCATGGGGAGTTGGCCATAGTGAATTGGACATGGCAAGTTGGCTACGGCTTGTTGGCTGCCGCAAGTTGTCCCTTCTGCTGGCTGCATGTGGATTTGACCTTGCTGCCACCCCAAGAGATTCTGTCCCAGGCCAACTCACAAGGGTTCTGGCCTGTGGGCAGATGTTGCTACAACTGACCCATGCTTCGTCCCCTTTCTCTCGTTCCCTGCCATAGGAGCAGCCAGGATCTCCTGACTGGATCCAGCTGGACCAACAGATTACTCCTTTATTGTTGAATTACTGCCAGTGTAAACTGCTGACTGAGGAGTACTATGAGGTGCTGGATCACTGCTCCTCCATTCTCAACAAGTATGAAGGTAAGGAGGCTTGTGAGCTACCAAAGAGCCACGGTGGGTTTGAAAGGTAGAGGAGTCTAAAGGGTGGCTGTCTTAATGGGGAGGGGAAACGTCAAGGCTGAAACTAGAGCAGGCCTTCAGAGGTCGTCAGAGGCCATGGATCCATCCTGGCTTACTGAAATGGCCACTTCCCCCACAGATAACGTCAAAGCCTACTTCAAGAGAGCCAAGGCTCATGCAGCCGTCTGGAATGCAACTGAGGCTCAGGCCGATTTTGCCAAGGTTTTGCAGCTGGATCCATCGCTGACCCCAGTGGTAACCCGGGAACTTCGCAACTTGGAGACCCGCCTGCGTGCGAAAGAGGACGAGGATAAGATCCGTTTCAAAGGCATCTTCTCCCAGTAGTCCTTGGACCGGCTGCTGATGCTCTTGCTCAGGACAGCTCTGGCTTTATATATCAGCCTGTCTAGGGAGAAGTTGTATAAATGTGGTGTGTGGCTCCTTGTCAGGCTTATCCCCACCCTCCACACTAACCTTGGAGGGAGCCAGCTTTTCTTGCCAACAGAGTTTGTACTCTCATGCCAATAGCACTATTTGCTACTGCCAGGGTTAGGTATGGCAAGAAAGGCATTTCAGATTCTCAAAGCCAAAGCAGGGTGGAAAGCATGTCCAGAAATGCATCTGCCACTTAGGTGGGAGCCTATCGTTCTCCTGTAATTGATTTTATTCTCCTGTCTCGCCACACATGGTGCCTTTTGGTCATCTGAGCACAAGGAAGGAAAGTTACTTTCTTGGGCTGGTGTCTTAAGAAAGGGCTGGCAGAAGCTCTGGCTGAAGGGTTTGCTTTGAATCGAGGCTTCTTTTCCATCTCCAAATCTTCTTTCAGCTGCCAGAGAAAAGGCCGGGCATAGGAGCATCCGATCTCTATAAACAGCAATGGCTTCCATGTCTGTGGATGTGGGCAAGAGAAAAGGGGATGCCAAGAACGACAAGGTCTGAGAGGTGATGGGCTCTTGAATATCATCCCTGCTCCCTCTCTTTGAGAGTCACGCAAAGCTCATACACAATCTCAGTTAGGTGCCCTTTGCTGCTACTTGAATATATAGGATTATACCCCGTAATCCCCCAGCCACAACTTTCCTGTCTAAAAGAAGCATAGCAAGCGTCTCTGTTGCAAGTTAAGAAGGGAAAAGCAAAGCATATTTTGAAAGGCAGGAGCTCATGTCTGCTGTAGTGAGGTGGCTGTGCTGGCAAACTCCTCAGTCCAGCCTTGGGGAAGGAATCTCATGCTGGTGGAATCCGAGTTGAAGAGATGTGTATGGTCGTTTCCCAGCCTCGGATTGGTGGAGCTGCTGTAATTTTCCTGCCAAGAGACTTTTGAATTCCCACCCAACTCTATTTAGATTTGATATATCAGAGACAGAGAGAGAGACAGAGAGAGAAAGAGAAAGAGAGACCTGGTGGGTGTGGCTTCCTAATTAAAATAAGATGAAATATTTCCTTCTCTCTTGTAGAAGCTATAGGAGTAAAGGTGATGCTAGCTGGCCTATCTCATCTACGTATTGGAGTAGTGTGCTGTACTCCACCCTCAATAGCTTTCAGCTGCTTTAGAAGTCTCTGCCATAAAATCATCATTTCTTGAATGCCAACTTTCCTCCATTAGTAGTAATTACTGGCAAAGCAGTCCCCGGACTCAGGTTCTGCGGTCACTCCTTGTTCAAAATGTGCCCAGTCGAAGTTTTGTTTTTGAGTGGAGCAAGAAGGGGGGAGATGGGCATGCAGTCCTGAGCTGTCCCCCCTCCCCCCTTTTTACAGAAACCAGCCTCAGCTTGGGCTGTGGAATGGTGGTTGTCAGTGCCTCCCTCCAGAAGGAAAACTCTGCACCTGAGTTCCCCCAGCTTGTGTTGTGTGTGCTGCTTGTTGGAGGAATTGTATGGGGATTACTTTGCTGGATTTGGACAAGAAAATCCTCACCACTACAAACTGGAGCCTCACTATTGACTGTCTTGCTTATGATGGTGCAGAATAGTGGCTGAGAGCAAAGGCCCCACCTAGGAACTAGGCTTCCCTATCCATTCCCCATTCTCAAGTAATGAAGAATAGTAGCCATTTGCTGTTGCTGCTGTGAGTGGGACTGGGGTATATTTTGACCCCTCTCCCAAATTTTCTTGGCAGCTTTCCGGTCTAGGATCAAGGACCTGCTTAGTGTGTTTGTATCCATGTGTCTCTGTGTGCGTCTTGGCAATTGATTGCAGCCAGGAGACAGAGGGAAAATTGTTCCTTAATAAGACAAGAAAAAAGGGACACCTCTGTTGAATGCAGCTTTCTATAATTGGGAACTCTAGCTGAGTTTGGGCTGCCTTTGGGAAGCACAAGGACCTAAATGAAGAAGCTATGTAGAGCAGGAGAATATTTCTTTTTTTTTCTTTCCTGTGGTGGAGGAGACTGAGAATTGTTTCCTATTGGAGACAGGATAGGGATGTTTCCTTCCATCCTGCCTCCTCAAAATTTCTATTGCCAAAGTTGCCTGTGAACCTCTCCAGATTCAGCTATAGTCCTGTAGCTGACAGTCCACCAATTTTACTGCTAAAATTGTTCTTCACCTTCTTTTAATGGCCATGAATTAGATCTAGTCTGTGTGTATTTCTCTCACTAAATTGCAGGGGATTTCATGATTTAGTTTTTATTTCAAGGGACAACCCCTCCCCACCCCCAAGGTCAAATAAACTAATGTAGATCCAATCCATGACTCCTCGGAAGAAAATACGGCTGGTCTCCCTGTGTATTTCCCAAATGTTGGTAAAGCTGTGCATTTTTATAGCTAGAGCTGCTCTCCAGATGTTAGTTCTTGGCTGCTATTTGCTGTGCCTTCTTTTGTGAGCTCTCATAGAATAAAAATGTGCTTTTGATAGCTTCTAGACCAGAGTTGTCTGGTGATGACTACGACAGTGAAATTTATCGGTGCGTCTTCAACACCCAAAATGGATGGCCAGTGATGGAAATGAGAACCCATCGCTGAAGTGTTTTGTGCTGACAAGAAGGCAACATGTGACAGAGTTCAAATAAAAAAAAAGTATTTTCCTCTCAGATACTATCTGTGTGGCTTCTTTAAAGTGTGGCTTTAACAGCCCAGCACAACTTTTCCCTAATTTTTGTTGCTTGATAGTGTTGCCATTAGCGAAGGCACCTTCCTCTTCCACGGGCCTGTCTTTCTGCCTGCATATCCCTGAATCGATAGCTGTCCTTCAGGGAAAATGAGAGGTGACCAAATTAGGAGTATAATACGGGGGCTTAGATCTATAGCAGGGGTCTCCAACCTTGGCAACTTTAAGACTTGTGGACTTCAACTCCCAGAGTTCCTCATCGTTAGTCTCCAACCTTGGCAACTTTAAGACTTGTGGACTTCAACTCCCAGCAAAGCTGGCTGTTTTCTTGTGCCTTGCATGGCTTGTCAACTTGTTCCCTTTGTTTAGCCTGGCCCGTGTCTCCAAGATCAGAATTAGAGCAGAGAAAGTGGGAAAGTTCATCATGAGGTGCACACCCCTCATTTTTATTGGAGTCTTCTGTCATTCATTACTGTGATTTAACAGATTACAGTTTAGAGTTCTGTACAAAAAATGTTAGTTTGAAATTTTGCTCATCTTAGGGCCTGTTTTATCTATTTTGCTTTTTGAGCTGCTACTGAGAAGAGGGTTCATAATGTTCTAAGAACTTATGAAAAGGTATTTTAAAAAGTTGAGCTAGAAATACTTAAATAGGGTTAAGCAAGTCTATGGAAATCAACAAAATTATAACATTTTAAGGAAGCATGTGCAAATTCTTTTTCCCAGGAAGTGATTTTTTTTTAATGCAAAAAGATAGCCCTGGGAGAGCTTCTTTAATATCCTCAGTCAAAACCTGATCACAAAGCATTTTTTTTCTTACCAAATTAGAAATAGGTGTAATAAATGTTTTGGAGTTTCTAAAAAGCGATGTTGATTATGATGAGAGCGGGTGGAATCTCAAGAAACAAGGTATTTCATTGCTTCAAACCTTAAAGTCTTAAAAAAAAACTAAAGGAAAATAATTATGCAATCAATAATTTATTAAACCTCCATTTTGTAAAGCCAGTTACAAATTAAACAAAGAAGTGCAGAAATAAATCTGCAATACAATTAAAGTCTGTTACATTCCCAATTGGGTTTCAGCTGCCTGCAGCAACCCGTGAGCCAGGATATAGCAGTACAGTAGTATTGCAGCTTCAAGGGAGCAGAGGACTATATGGAGACTGAAGTACAGGCTTCCTGCAAGTGGTGCCCTCCTCCATGTGTGAAAACCTAATTGGCACACTCCAATATACAACATGCCAGCTGCAGTGACTGGAAATTCTTGCTCCATGAGGGCCCTCGGTTGAGAGGAAGCCTGTCTTTGTCAACGTACTGAACCAAAAAAATGGGGTCACATGTCTCTTCCACCAGTCTCCCCGGTTCCATGTTCATAAACGGAAAAGATGCAAGAAAGGGCAACTGAATGGGACTCAGCCTGGCATATTAAGGCAATGTCTATACAGGTGAAACTTGAAAAATTAGAATATTGTGCAAAAGTTCATTTATTTCAGGAATGCAACTTAAAAGGTGAAACTATGAGATAAGACTCATTACATGCAAAGCAAGATAGTTGAAGCCATGATTTGTCATAATTGGGATGAT